ATTTTGAAGGAGATCAACCCTGAGTGCTCACTGGAAGGATAGATCCTGAAGCAGAGGCTCCAATACTTTGGCCATCCCATGAGAAGAGAAATAACAGCATGAGAAAAGAAATTCCAGTGATCAACTATAATATTCCTTTACTCTCCCTTACAGGTCAAATTCATGTCGACAATAAATTAAATGACATAAAGTCCCATTTAGACCGAGGAGAAGTAGTCGATGGTGGACTTCTCACAACTCTGCTTAAGAGTGAAGAACTCACAGTGGAAGAAATCTATGCCAATATGACTGAAATGCTTTTGGCAGGGGTTGATACAGTAAGTGTGTTGTTGTTGTTGTTGTTGTTAATGGGTGAAAGAAGTAACAGTGTTTTTGGAAATAGATATGCGGCTAAATTTTTTGTATTCCCGTGGAGCAGGTTGGGAGAAATCAGGGGTGTATTTAAGGGCGCAGCTACATAATGGGTAACGTGAATGGATTTGCTGTGAAATTGTACCCAGACAATTGGATTTCCCCAGATTAATTTGCTTCAGCCAACCACAGAGGAGAAAGGAATTGAGGGGAGGAAATTGGCACTGAATGTTTACAATTTGTTTACCATTTGAATCTTCTGCTCCCCAAAACCTAGTGCCTGAGTCTGCTTGTTTCCCTGTTTCCTTTCCTGCCTTCTTGCCTTCCTTCCTTCCTTCCTTCCTTCCTTCCTGCCTGACTGCCTTCGTAGTGCTAGGACAGCTAGGTTATCAAAAAGAAAAAAAAAGAGAGTGAGGAATCAGCAGAGAGAGAGAGAGAGGAGGAAGTTTTCAGCCAACATGATTTCCATCTTGTTAAGGTACTTCTGCTCTAACTGTACCTCCTGCAAATCTGGATGGCCAGAGCAGAGCTACCATAGCAAGGCTCATTGAAAACTTCCTCCTCTCTCTTTGTCAACTTGCTCTTTTGCTCTGTCTTCAGTAACTCAGCTGTCTTAGTGCTAGGGCAACAAGCTTTAGAAAGAAAGAAATGGAACAGGAAGTGAAAGGCAAAGAGAAAAGAAAAAAGGGTAACAAGCAGACCCAGGCACTAGGTGTGGGAAGCAGAGGATTCAAATACTTTCCAGTTTCCCTGTGACCCTGCCACTCTTGATGGTGCTGTAGCCAACTGGAATGACTTCAGACAAAATGTTACAAAACCCCTCAAGTGATCACAATGTCCGAACCAATGCAAATGCATAAAATTCCAAAAAAGTAGAAGCCCCAGCAGCAGAGGAAAAGACTACAGATGTGGGGGACTGGAAACCCAGGTTGATTCACCATAACTTGCAGGTCATATAGTCAACAGAAAATAATGCAAATCAGACCATTCCAATCCTTGCTTCTTTTTCTCCTGCATCGTTTGTGAGTGTAGTCACTCCCTAAAATGCACTTTGCTCAGGGTTTCAACTCAAGACTACTTTGGGAGCAGGCTTTGTCAGCAAGCTTTGTCTTGCATGTCTTGCTGAAACTCTGTTACTATGCATTGGGTGGAATCTGAACTAGGAGATCCCAGTTTCTCTAAGCACAAAATTTCTTTTGCTCTGTAGAGCAGAATCTACCTTTAGACAGTCACAGGTGACTAAGGTAGAATCCTCAATATGACAATTTATCTTCCAGCAATTGTCATTGCTTTGATTGTTCTTTAAAGCTGGACATGCCAGCAGTGATGTAAATAAGTGACACAATAAACATCTTTTAAGCCTGAATTGGCAATGCCTTCATTTATTCCTGCCTCTTTAGCTGACAATGATCAGTCTGTGCTATGTGAGAGGAACCCCACAATATATGAAGTATACAAGACTTGCTCTTCCAGTGCTAAAACTGTAGGCACATAAAAGCTTTATGAAAGACTTTGAACAGAATAGGGCAGGCAGCTGTTGCTGAGCTTCAAAGCATTTCAGATATTTTCACACAGTGCCACTTTTGAAGAGGATGAGAAGGAGCTGGGAACTTGAGAAGGGATGCTGTTTAGATTACAGAAGCTTCTTATATAGTTAGGCACAGCTCCTAGCCTCTCGTTGAGAGAGAAAGTGAGTCATTCCAGATCTGAGTTAACAAGAGAGACAATAATGTAGAACAAACTGAAAATAGATGAAATTGGGCATTAAGGGGCAGATGTCTGGCTTTTCACCTTATTTTATGAGGTAGGGAGAAAGAATATTACAATGTAATGACCTCTATACATATATCAAAGATATTCTGGTAAAAAAAGGTGACGTCTTCCATTGATTAAAGGCAAGAACCACATTGCCCCAACACGGCTGGCCTATGTGCAAACACTACAAGACAACTGCTCCACTGCACTGCCCAAGATGGGAAAAACCATCCCACAATGAAGGCGACTGTACTTTTTAATACTTCTGCAAATGCCGTCACCACAGGAGAAGGAAGAGACAATTGGTGCAGCAACCAGTCATATTTTGTTATTGTTGTTGTTAATGCCCGGCTGGCTCTAAGGGAGTGTCTCAGAGCCAAGATCTGATGAGAAGCAAAGAGAGAAATGACCTGAAATCTTAGTGATTTCTGTGGAAATTTTTCTCTCTCTGCCTTGATTCCAAGAGGATATCTGGGAGCCAGATACAAAAACGAATTTAAAAGCTGGCTGCTGTTCTTCTTGCTTCTTTTTCTCATCAGTTAACCAGAGTAATTGTCAAAACCCTGATGATTGCTTTGTGTTTGAGGGAGACGTGGTTAACTGATGAAAAAAGGACTCGGGTTCTGAGATTTTCCTCAGCTTGGTGTCTCTTTGGGAATGGTCATGTACACAGAAGGGTATCCTGTAGACCAGGATTCTCCAAACTTTTGACAGTGAGAGCCACACCAGATATTTTCAACATTTTTATGGCCAAAGGAACAGGAACGTATGCATTTATTCATGCACCCCCGCATGCACAGATGCATGCACACATGCACCCCCGCCTGCCCCATACACACTCATGCATGCACAGACACCTGCCTGCCCACCCACACATATGCAAACCTAAATTTCTTTATTATTTTCATATCCATATTCATATCTATAGAAAGAAGCAATATGTTACAGTGGTGCACACGATAAGCATAATTATTTGTTATGCATCATTGTTTCTTGTCAGAATTGTTGATCTTACTCTCTTCAACCGATGGCCTAAAAAGAAATATCTGAAATGTTTAACTATGCCTCTTGGAAAAAATAACATAATTAGGACACTAATCTTTTGCATTTAGGCTGCATTCTTTTCAATAACATTAGATTCCTTTGAAAACTGTGAGAGTTACTTTAAACATACATTTTAAACATACCTTGATGTAAACGTACGTAAATTTAAATCCTGCTGCTTAGCACAGTAAGTTGAAACTTACAGTAGGCCCATTCACATTAATGGCACTTATAGCAGAGTTGACTCATCAAATCCCCACTGATTCAATGGGCCTACTCTAGTGCACCTCACTACGCTAAACAATTAGATTTCTGTGCTGTTTGTGAAAGTGCTTGATAAATATTAGACCTCCGTGTTAACAATAATAACTTGGTTTAGTCTTGGTGCGTAATAAATCCTTTCTCTGAAAAGTGAAACATGCTGCTATATAGTGAATAGTAATTTCCCCCCTCCTACTAATGCTTTCTTTTCCCCCTCTCTCAGACATCATTCACTTTATCCTGGGCAACCTATCTGTTAGCAAAGCACCCGGAAGTGCAGCATTCTATCTATAAAGAGATAGTCAGTAACCTGAGAAAGGACAAAGTACCTGATGCACATGATATCCCCAATTTGCCATTGATTAGAGCGCTTCTCAAAGAAACGTTAAGGTAAGCACAGAAAAAGGATACTGCCAAACGCTTCCAATCTTTCTTATTATAACGTGTCTCTATCTAAACTACAAGACAACAGTTGTATCTTCCCTTTCCCATTTTTTTGAAGTCATTCTTGATTTTGGAAAATAATCCTCCCAATGTTTATGTACCACACAGAAGGACTAAGCCTTCCGGTTCAGAGAGACACTTTTTGCAGTTCAGGATTTTGCCCATTCTAAATAATTTGGTGCCATCTACGAAAGCAAGATGTGAGGCTTATATCCTGCCCTGTTGAGCTTACTCTCAGCAGTTTACAATTTAATTATGCAAGCTATACATTGCCTCTCCACCTCCCAGCAAGCTGGGTACTCAAATAACCGACCAGGGAAGGATGGAACGCTGAGTCAACCTTGAGCCAGTTACTTGGGCTTGGATTGAACTCAGGTCATGAGCAGAGTCTTTCTTGCAGTTTAGATCACTGTGCCAGGAGGTCCCAGTAGTAACCTCATTGTTTGTGTAATTTACGCAGGCTTTAATGTAACACATACCGAGATAGAACATTGTGAGACACCATTTCCTATATTTATATGGCAATATTCTTTAAAATGTTTGTTTTTTCTACCTGCTGCCTCCAGTAATGTAGACAACATTACAGGTTTGAGTTCTTATTTAAAGAATGCTAGATTTTGCATTTTTTTATTATCAAAAGCCTATGAAATTCAAGTGTGCCATGTTTATTAAATTACCTTTATTCGTGTACTTGTGGGAACCTCCAAAACATTTCACAGAACTATTACGCACATTAACCCTCTAACTGACACTTGTTTGCAGGTTATTTCCAGTATTACCCGGAAATGGTAGAGTAACCCAGAAAGATATGGTCATTGGAGGATATTTGATACCTAAAGGGGTAAGTTGTTGTGGTGTTTGCCCCTAGTTACCCCTGGTTACATTCGTACCACAGAGCACTTGAAGGCAAACCAAACTCCTCTTCACACGCTGCCACCAGTTGATTACTAAATCAACATACTTTTCTAAAGAAAGATGAAGGTCCATTCTTCACTGTCTTTTAAATAAAACAGGTTTATTGATTACAGATGTTTGGATAATAATTCATATATATCTTCAGGTTTCTAAATCAACAATAACATTAATAATTCATATATATATTCAGGTTTCAAAATCAACAATAACAATCTTATATTTGATCTTACAGTTACTATTCACTCTTCTGACTAATCACACCTCAGATCTCCCAAATATCACTCTATCTCTCCTGACTCCACACTCTCTCCCACTCTGACTCTGACTGACTGTTCACTCTCAGGCTCTGCCTTTTTACCTTTCTTAGCTCCGCCCCTCAACGACATTAGCCTACTACATAAATAATGCATGACTATTTAACATAATAAGGGAGAATGCCACAGTTGCATAATGGGTTTATAATAAAAGGATATTGTTACAGGGCTATTTAGTGTATGTACCTCTACTAGGATACTAGTACAGTGGAGCCTCGACTTACAGACTTTTCGAGTTACAGACTTCTCTGGCCGCAAAATTTAGGTTTGACGTGCAACCGGAGAATTGACTTACAGACCAGAAAAACACCAAAATGGAACAAAAATGGAACAAAAATGGCCGGTTACGGATTAATTGGTTTTCAATGCATTGTAGGTCAATAGAGACTTGACCTACAGACTTTTTGACCTGCAGCCACCGTTCCAATACGGATTAATTCCGTAAGTAGAGGGTCCACTGTATTTTTTTTCTTTTTTGCAGTCTTAGTCATGTAAATTGCACTGATTAAATTTTAAACTGAACCAGACACCTGGACTCTCATTCTAAATTTATACTGATCTTTCCTGTCCCCTAAATACTGATCTTGTCTCTGTCCAAAATTAGCGCAAGTAACTTCTCATGCATTAAGATGGGGCATTTTAGTCTTCTAGGGTCGTATTTTGTTGCAGAACCTGTACAAGACCATTTGCAATATGGAAATTTTGTGGCATCATCTTGCACACTGTACTATTCTGTATCTTCAGATCTTATGTACTTCCTTTGCACAGCTCTCCCCCTCCCCCCGGCAACAAAAATGGCAGGGTCTTCTCTCAAAACTTTGTTGTATGGTTTTGGTCTGAGCCAGTAAGGACTTTAAAAAATGTGTAGAAAAAGACCACCCTCCTCTCTCTGATGCATACACACTTCCTTAACACTCTAGTCTAGTTTGTTATTAACCTGGACAATTGCAAAAAGCACAAGGCCTGGTTTAGCAGCTGTATTTACACTGTGCTGCCCTCTCGTCACCCCTTCTGGATTAAAAAATAAATCAGTTTAGGAAACTTCTAATCATTCCCCCCCCCCCAAAGTGCATTTGAAGACACATGCCAAATAGTTATTCATCTAAGAGGAGAGGCTATTGATGATGATGTAACTGACAAAAATATTAACAGCAACATTTTGTTTTTTCTTAATGTGAGAAGATACTGGATTTAATCTCATATTTTTTTCTTGAGTCTAAAACAGAGGGCTCAGAAGAACACAACTTTTTATAAGGTTAAATATTAAAGCATTACTATAAATTGCTGTTTAGTATTTGATTCACATTTGACAGCTTGACTGATGCACTTTAACCTCTGGAACAACAGCACTGTGTTCCCCTTGAATGTAGTCTGATGTTTTGTGAAATAATGTAGAAACTGTTCAGAAACTGTTCAGATGTTTTGGAAACTGTAAGTAGTTTATTAATGTGACTGTGCAGATCAATATTTGTTTCATTAGACCCAGCTGGCACTATGTCATTATGCTACTTCATACCAAGAAGAGAATTTCCCATCAGCAAATGAATTCATGCCAGATCGCTGGCTAAGGAAAAGTAATATGGACAGAGTGGATAATTTTGGTTCTATCCCATTTGGTTATGGCATTCGGAGTTGTATAGGAAAGCGAATTGCTGAACTTGAAATTCACCTTGCACTAATACAGGTAAGCACATTATAATTACAGACTGTATTTCTTCAGAATCCTGTTAGTTACACCCTCTGACATAACTCCATTAGCATAAATTTCAATGGTGAATTGCTGCATGTTAAGATGTCAGCCTAGGCATTTGCTGTTGTGTTCCGGAGGCCCATGAAAATAAGGCAAAATTGCCTGATGTCCCCAAGAGAGCACAGTGGGATTGTTTGAGCAACAAATATTTTCTTTCTTTTCTTTTCATTGCTAGGAATATTTGGGGGCTGGGGAGCAGAGTGGCTGAGGCTGGCAAAAATGGCCAGTGATACGTTTTGTCCACCTCTATGACAAGGGACTCCAACACACTGGGCTGTACCAATCCTTGACGAGGTTCTGGCGGGGGTTAACTTAGACATGCTTGATGCCCAGACTGTAGACTTCTTGAAGAGAGAAATTAACACTTTGATGAAGAAGACTCTACTATTTCCATTTGGCCTTGTTTCAATCCAAAGGAGGGGAAAGGGAACCAAACGCTCTTCCAGTATCTCCAGAGGCTTAGGACACTTGTAGCTTTAGAGGTTGCAGATGCCAACCTAGCAGGATGATGGTGGACTGCTTGGCCTCTTACTTTGATCCAGGACAGCTCTTACATTCAACACATCCACTGAAACTGGCTGCTGGAATGGTCAGTGTGGCTGTTACATTTCTCACAGTCATTTGAAAAAGTAATTGTCATATTATTCCATTTTCCCAGCTGCTTCGACATTTTGAAATAAAAATTTCTCCGAAAACTAAATCAGTTTGTGCCAAAACCCATGGACTCCTGACTCCTGCAGACTCGATCAATGTGAAATTTGCTGACAGGAAATGAGAGAAGGAACTTCAGGAAATTTCCAGCATGACCTCTGACTGAAAGATGGAGAAGATTCTCTAAGCCAGTAACGTCTTTTTGTAATCAAGCTTTTGATGCCTACCTAGAAGTTTATTCATCTCCTCAAATATATTTCACTGACCCACACAAAACATTACATAAACACATATTAAAATCATTCATTTCCCATTTTATTTTATTCTATTTTATTTTCTCCTTCTTTCTGCTAGAAATATAGTTTTGGGAGAGATAGTAAAGGCAATAGACAGATACATCAAATCAATATCCTACCCTCTAAGCAGATTTTTTTTTCAAAGAGAGAAATTTATATACTTTGGCCTGGTATCCTGTTCAGTATTAACATATGCTCAACTCCAGCTGCAGAAGCTGCTGTAGTTATTCAGCGAGGTGTTGGTTGCATGATACAGTTGTGCCACCAAATCAGCTTCTGCATCTGGAGTTCTGCATGTATAGATATTGAAGAGAATGCTGACCAGCATACAACTGCATTCCTTTCCTACTTGTCTCCTGTTATTATGTGCCATCAAGGTACTTCTGGCTTATGACAGTTCTATAAATTAAGCATCTCCAAAAGTGTTGACAACCCTGGTAAAGTCCTAGTTTCTCTAGTAGGAACTGAGGCACTAATTTTAGCAATCACAAAATATGGCTAAATTCTAGCGAATCCTGGACATCTGTGGGGCATCTCTTTCCAACCCGTTTCCCATCATTAGGCTATTTGAGGTGATAAGAAGTGTCATGGCTAACAAGCAGATAAGTAGGTAAACAGATTACACCTTCAGGACAGCTTCGGTTATCATGCGCTAATTATAAACTCCTCTGAAAGATAAATGTTATTTTATGGGATGCAGGATGTACACCAATTTGCAGTTTTACTTTCTTATCTTCATTGTCCTTCTGGGAATCCTTACTTTGACACTGCTTCCTTTTCAAACGATTTAACAGTAATCCATAAAAATGTACCGTAGGGCAATAGTTTGAGACAAATAATGCAGTCTACAGCCATCTACATTCAAAAATTTGAATGGTCTCCCCTGAAAAGCTTCTTTAATCACATACAAAATGAACATAAAGTTTACATATCACTGAGTCATTCACTCATGTAACAATAAATCTTTATATTTGTACATTTTTTTTACAGTTGACAGCTTTCTTTGTAAATAAAGGTTTTACTGTAATAGCTTGACATTCTTTTTTTTTAATCTTGCAAATGGAAATTACTGCTTAATGTAATATACAACTGATTTTAGTGTGTGGGGGCTACTGCCCTCTCTGGGACAGATACTAAAATTACACGGTGCTTATGTGTTTGAAGAATGTGCACTTTGTAGTTGCTTATTTAAGCAATTTATATAGCCAATGGCAACTAGAGATGTTTAGGTTTGTGACATTTGTTATAGATTTGCAAAGCAGCAAGTGACATTTGCAAGATAATATCTTTAAAAAAAACAATGTCTTTTGAAGCTGTCATATGTTTTCCTCTAAACGCTTTGCTAAAATGCTTGAACATGCATATTTTAAGGTCAGTTTTGCTGTGGGCATAGCAGATGAAATAAATTAATGCTGAAACACTTATCTTAGATATTTCAGGATGCTAAAATGACTTAATCTGTCAGTACTTTAATCTCCACTTGCACTGATTTTCCAAAGTTTAAGACGATGTTCGGTTTTCTCAGGAACCCCTTTTGGCATCTTTTCTTATAGTCCAGGAGGAAAAGTTCTAGAGAAAATCAAAACTCGTTCACCACCAGTACTTAAGGCTTAAGTAGTAAACACTTTACTTAAACAGGGAGGAAAAGCAGAGATTCATAGTCTGAATTTTTATGGACCTGCATTTTGGACTGTTGCATTAGATGTCTTTTTATTTGTTATAATATTTTTACTAGTATACATTTATAAATTAATATTTCATATTTTATAAACTAAATTTAAGAGAACATTTTAATAATTTCTTATCATTGATAAAATATTTGAATTACTTTGAAGAAATTCCCTATTTGTCTCTTAGGCATAATAAAGTAATTGTATATCAACCCTGATATTTGTCTGATATTATTGCAATAGACACTCTTGTCTAGAATTAGCTCCTTTAAAAGGGTTCTCCTGCCTTATACCAGCAAACCCAATGGACCACCGTTTATCAACTGTTTTCTACTGGAACAAATTCATTGACATTTATTTCTAAGGACAGTCTTGCAAATGGAAGTACTCATATTGTATTTTAGATTTGTTGATGACCCAAAGCAAAGGGGGTCCAGGTACTAACCAAAGGACTGGTATCAAAAAGATTAAGCACACAATGGTTTGGGAGAGAAGAGAAACCAATTCTTATACTGACTTGAAACATAATGTTATAATGGATATAATGTACATGAAAAAAAGTGACATAGTCTAGATTTTTTTTTGAAGACGAACAACTTCCAGTAAAAAAGAATGTATTCTACCCACCCTCCTATGTGATACATCAAAATGTACATGTTAATGTGCCACTATTATGCAATAATTCAACTCAGGAGTGAGGAACCTTCATCTTGGATTTTGTCTTCTAAATTCCTCAACAGGTGTAACTTGTGGTAAGGGATTATAAATATCTCGAACATCTAAAGGGGCTAAGGTTTTCCAGCTCTGCTTAACCCCATTAATCTAATGTAAGCACCATCTTTCAAATTATCTCCAAGTCTATTGCATCCTGCAGGAAAACAAAATGGAGTTAGTCCTTTTTGTAGATAGGGAAGTAATTATTTATTAGGATCCTTAGATTTCCCCGGTCCCCTTACTTCAATCCAGAAAAGTTTTCCTCAAGTCTTGTTTCAAGACTTGTTCAGATGGGCATTTGTCCCACTGTTTGGTCAGTTGTGGGACTGGTGGAATGGTTCGCTCTTTTTTCTGGTAACCACAAAATAAGTGGACCAATTTGCCTGCACTGTTTTTAGGCCCTATCAAGGGCTCCTATTTTTTGGCGCAGGTAGGGGGTACTCTAGTCTGTTCCCAGTATGCGTGACTGCTGGGAAAGGACCAAACACTGAGCCTTGCTCTGAGACTGAGAAATTAACTTTGGCCACCACCCAGTTTGCACACACTTAGGACCAAGATCTCACAAATGAGCGAGATTTACTTCTGAGTAAACACAGATTGGGCTGCAGCCTGGCACTGACTGCAGTCCAGCCCTTCACCTCTGCAGTTGCAAGAGACAACCACTCTTCAATTCCCTGTTTGCAAAAGGTGGTGGGGAGGTGCTCTCCAGCCCAACTCCACCCTTCCTTGGAGGGTGGGGGAGTCCCTTACATCTCTGAGAGGGAACTGCCTTTGCTGCAGAAAGCAGGAGCCTGATGAACCCGTTGATTGGAAAACAAGCTCATCTGAACTCCGGGGCAAATCCTGCTGAGTAGACATTTGCCACACCACTTGCCCAGATCAATGATTTTTTTAACAATGGAAAGGTGCAAAAGTGAGATCCACAGCATGTTTACTCCTAATTAAAGTCACACGTGGGACAAATTGTCCTCTGCTGGCCCAGGACCTTAGCCTAAAGCTCTTGGGAGAGGATAAGGATTGATCATGGTGAACAACTGCCAAGCAAGCCCAGGAGCCTTGAAGTTGCCAGAGAGGAGGAGATATACCATTTCAATGTTGCAGAGTTTTTACCTGCTGGCAAAAGTTCTCTTTGCTATGCAGTTGAAATACAGAGGTTCTCAGAGGAGAATAGCTACAAGTTCCCCAGAGTCCATCCCTTTCTCATTAATTGGCACTTTGTCTCAGTACCTCACTCTGAGATATTTGTAGGAGAAAGTTTCTTTACTTACAATTGCTTGAAATTAGAGACATGTGTATACTGCTTTCTTAACTGCACACATACTTAGCAACCAATCAAACAGATCAACAGCAAACAAACAATTGACACCAATAGACTAAAGAGGGGATAAACTCTTAGTAGAGAGGTGGGACTCTCTTTGAATTTAAAGACTGGAAGGAACAATTGGCTAGTGTTGGATAGACAGACAATGACCCCAGCCCATAAAAGTCCCTCCCAGTCAAACAAACTACAGGAACCATGAAAGGCTGCAAATAAAACTCCAACATTCAATGTGATGATCACACCAAATAACATATTGCTCCTCCTCCCCTGTTAGCAAACCATTTTAGACAACACCAGTTTGCACCAAAAGGGCCAGTGCAGTCACACCCTCTCTGAGATCTGAGGCATGACTACTGAACAGCTGTCTTTGGATCAACCCAATCTTTTGTACTGTTTGGTTTATTCCTGGGATTTTCCAGCTAAAACGTTGATCTCAGTTGGGTAGGTCAGCTTTCCTTGAGTCAGAATGTACATTTTTCATCCTCCTTTCACAAAGAGAGCCTATCTCATAGTTCACTTCCCCAGTCCCCTTTGCAACTTCACCCTAAGAAATGCCTGGCCTCTCCAGTATGGGAGGGTTAGAGGGTTGATCTGCATGTCAGGATTATAAGCAGGAATTCACTCGAAAACACACACCTTCTCCAGAGAAGTGACACTGAACATTCTCAATGTGACACATTCAACAATGTGTTAAACTGAAGAAAAGAAGACACTAATTTTGTCCATATGCCTAGAAAGGTAAGCGTTAAGTTCTGCTTCGTAGTCCATAGGATCACACAGATGGGTTTTGCATCTGCCCAGTAGCACCTTTTTCAGCACCTTCTAGCTCTAAGTATCTTATGCCCGTTTCCACTGCTCATGATTACAGACATACCTAAATGGTGTTACGTCCATTCCTTTTCATCCAGCATGCCTCAATAGGATCCTTCACTGGATGTTTGGATATTTCTTTGAGTCATTTTAGCACTTTTAAGTTCTATGGGGTTATTTGCTCACTATTGATGAAGCTTGCAAGCACAATTTCACAAAACCAATCTCTTCTTATTTGCATTTATATAACACCATGTGAGCAGTGATAACAACAATGTCATGCTACACTTTGTGCACCCAAGGCCTTGGCAACAGCATCTATCTATACAGGGGCTGCTTGCAGAATTTGCAAAGTTTGATTGTCCCTTTTCAGAGTCAGAAAAAAAATCCAAGATATCTTCATCAACTGGGTTGGGATTCCATGACACGAGAGACTCTGTGAAACCCTAGACCAAGTGGGCAAGGGCTTCAGCTGTTCAAGAAGCAACAGCAACCCCAGCTCTTCAGTTCTTCCCCTCTTTACGATTCAAAAATCTGTTACTCACAGCCCTGCTCTTTCTTAGTCCCACCCCTTTGAGCTGAACCAATATTTCATAGGGGTTACACAATTACTCTACTAAGTACTTTTACAGAGTACTTTTCCTTTCTCTTTGCTTCTTTGGTAGTAGCCTTTATTTGTTTCATTAAATACATTGTTTAACTAGTTCCTTGCTTGATGTGCTTTTTGCATGTACATAGTTGATTTATGGCCTCTGTGGCCCACTTTAAAAAGGGGGAAAATAGCCCATCAGATGAATTACAAAGTGTATTTGTAGAGCAGTGTTTGGTTTGCAGAGGCTTTACCAAGGTTATTTTAAGGAACAGAGTTTTGAAATTCCATTTATGTATTTTGGAAAAAATGTTACAGGCTGCTGATTTAGCCACCCAGAACAAGCCTCTACACACTGCTTTGTTGGCAATTTGCAAGATACCATCAACACAACGTTTGATATTATCAAACCAGGCAGGTTTTCCTTTGTGACTGACTGTCTGGGAGACAACAAACGGAATGGGTTATAATTTGTTGCTTCTAAATCTGCTTTTTGTAATGCTTCTACCTAACATTAATATAAGGTTATTATAGTTAACAAGGTTATTAATTCTTCTTTAATAATGCTTTTAGCTTTTAATAATGTATTTTTAATGATGTAAGCTGCCTTGGGTCCTTTTTTATGACGGCAGGATAAAAATATTTTAAATAAATGCATCAAATAAAACCTTGACACCACCAGTTCCAACCTCCTAGATACCGACAGCCTCAGTGCCAGCAAACTGGCATCAGTAGAAACCTAACCACCAGTTTCATCAGAAACAACTGTGCTGCAGGGGTCTCAAGAGGGACTGCTGGTTATACCTTAAACACAGAAAGAACTGAAGCCAAATTAAAGTAAAGTGAGGTGGAAAGGATGTCCTCTCTGCTCTTCCACTCCAATTCCAGCCGCAGATCATTATTTACCCTGGTCCTCTGCTAAGGATTCATGACCTCCACAGTCTTATACAGTCTGACTTAGCTACGGTAATAATAATATTGACTCTGTGCCTCACTGCTACATCTCCAGCGTATGAGATGCTGATGTTGAATTGTCTTGTATTCAGACATCTGGCACCGCTGCCCTCATCTTTGATGTCGGTGCTTCTGTTCTTTTGATCTCAGCTGCTCTGTCTGCTATGAGTCCTGTGACAACTATGAGAATGTCATTGTTGCTTTTGACATTGACTGATCAGTAGGAACAATGTATTGAATGAGAGGAGACTCCTCAAGTCCAGCACATCCCCAGAAGAAGGGAATGGTAAACCACTTCTGTGTATTCACTACCTAAAAGAACCCTGCAAAGGATCACCATAAGTCAAAATTAACTTGATGGTGTGTGCACATGTATTCAGTGCCTAAAAGAACCCTGCAAAGGATCACCATCAGTCAAAATTAACTTGATGGTGTGTGCACATTCCTGCACACACACACCCTTAACACATAATGGCCAAAATCCTGTTGTGTAATGTAGGAAATTGCACTAGAGTTGGCCCATTGAATCCGTGTGCATTTAGTGAGTGCTGCGTTAAATGATATATGTTAAATAAATAAATATTCAGTAAATACAGTGCTGCTATTTGTCTCTAGGAAGTCTCCAGAGAAAGGTGGGTCTCGGATTTACCAAGGCCCATGATGTTTTTGTTGAGGTGGTCCCTGGTTCAATGGCAGCTAACCCCCATCTCCTGGCATGGCACC